TGTTTTTTGTTTTTTGTTTTTTGTTTTTTGTTTTGTTTTTACAGAGAAAGGCTCCTGGATGCAGACTTTAGGAGAAGTGGAGCTTTCTTACACTGGATATAGTGATTTTCAGATTACATAGCCACAGATACATGCCAGCACTCTGCAATTCTGTAATGAATAAGGCTTTACACCATTACTGATTTTTTTAGATATGTGAGACTGAGATAATGGTGCTGCCTATACCTAGTTATTCTAAATTACTTTTCTGTTTCACTTAGCTGAATTACGCTGTCTGAAAAATAAAGTATATTTTTCTTTTTTTTTCATTTCCATTTTCACTTGGAAACACAATCTGTAGAGCAGTTCATTATTTCTTCATGGGGGCAGCTTCTAATATCACATAGGCAGGCTTCTTTTCTCTTTCATGCAAACAAAACTCCATTCCTTATCCTCCTAATTTGCCTCCCTCACTCTTATTTACTCTGGAAGTTTCTACAAATTTGGGGGGGAGAACAGGGTGTTCATGCGGGAGGTGAAATCTGTCCTGGCAGACAGACCCAGAGAGCCTCTTGGAGTTTAGTTCTTCAAGTCTGGAAGTCGTCCCATCGTTTTTCTAGAAGTCTTGCTCCTCAATCCTAAATATGTGAAGTTAATGTGATGAGTACTGAGGAGAAACAAGAAGATGCTTTGTGCATGTTCAGAAGGAATGCTCTTTTTCACCAATTACAAGTTGTTATAAAAGAACAGATTTTACTTATAATCCCAGGAACCAATTAACCCTTAATCCATCCCCTCCACCAGTATGCCATCAAACCTTTTGGATTTTTTCTTTCTCTCTCCTTTTTAGTGAATGGACTAGTTTCCAGTACTACTCCTGCTCTGTGTGCTGTCTTTCTTGCACTATATCAGCCTTTTCTTTCTCAGTCTGTGCACCGCCCTTCTCCTCATTGTTTTCTCCAGCATTGCTCTCCCTGTTGATTGATCTGTCTTTGACTTCCTCTTTTCTCAGTTGGAGGAGTAAAGGAACAACCTGGATTATAGTCATGGGTTTATTGAGACATGTGGAAAGTGGCATTATCATTGTGGATTATTATTATATCAGAGCATATCTTCTCAGGGTAGATTTCTTGGTCTCCTCTTGTTGCTTAAAAAAAGAGGGAGGGGAGACAAAGAAAGGGAAAAAGAATATATTAGCTTTTAAACACATAAATTCTCATGTGTACTTTTGCTTAAGGTGTTTTACCAACTCCTTGTTGAACTCTTATCTGATTAAGTCCTTAAACCATGTTCTGTTCATTCAGGTAATCCACAAATCCTGCTGTCTAGTATAGACTTTTGTTTTATATGATTCCTATAAAAATCAGACATAAACTTTGATAATATGAGAGTTCATTAAAAAAATAATTACGACATAGAAAAACATATTGCCCCTTCTATAATCGTAATTTAGAATGGAAGGGATTCTGACATTTAAATAGGAAGCAATTCCTCCTATTGAGGTGGCTAATTTTCCTAAACAATTACAGGCATGGTGCCTACTTGGGCTATATTGTTATTGCAGTGGGGAGTCAAGGATGAAAGCCACACCAGCCTGCTGTGCTAAGGTCCTAGTTAGTTCCCCCCAGGTTTACTTTTGAGAAATAATAAAGATTATTATGTGGCCTGCAGCTTTAGCAAAGTAATGTGTAATTTGTTTGAACCTGAGGGGATCATAACATAATCAGAACACTTATCTAAATGTCTTAATATATAAATATGTCTACATGCCCCAACCTTCTAACAATTAATAGGACTGCAGGCTGGTCCTCAAAACAAATTGCTTAGACATAATTTTTATTCTGTGATGTCTCTTCCTTTTCTTGCAGGAGCCAACCTGACAGAAAAAATCAGGAAGATAAAGATAGTCTTCACTCCCACAATCTGTAAACAGACTTGTCACCATGGCCGCTGCTACAATAATTGTGAGAAAGGGGACACTACCACCTTATACAGCCAGAGCGGACACGACCATGACCCCAAATCTGGTTTTCGTATCTGTGAGTCTTCTTAAATGTGTGACCTGGAGTGGACTTTTCTTTTCCTCTCTTTCCTTTTGGGCTAGCAATTACCTACAGAAGCAGAAAAGAAACAACCTTCTCTGAGACCTGTCCTACCCTCTTGGAGATAATAGGCCAGTCTCAGTTACCCTTTATTGCACCTCTCCTGTTCTTTATGTCAGTTTTTCTCAATCTTGGCAACTTTAAGAGGTGTGGATTTCAACTCCCAGAATTCCCCAGCCAGCCAAGGTTGAGATACACTGCTTTATGTAATTCTCTCTGGCTGTCAGACAAAGTACCACATAGGCTACATAGCGTTATTTTTCTTGGCAAGGCCAATCTGTTGTTTTCACTGGGTCTGAACTTTGGGTTTCCTCCCATTCTGTTTGATAATGTGTAGGGAAACCAAGAGAGTTGGCTGAGATTTTTACACTATTAATTTTAAGGAGCTGAAGCCTTCTATTCTGATCTTATTGATGCTGTAATTGCCTAGGAAATTTCTGTGAGTTAGACAGGTCAATTTCTTCTCCTCACTGCAGCCTTTTCCAACTGAATGTCCTTAAGATGTGTTAGTGAACTACAATTTCTATTATTATCAGCTTCATGGCCATTGATGGTGCTGACAGGAGATGTAATCTTTGAATGGGTAAACCTCTATTGAGAAGACTACATCTGGTCACAAGCTTAGGCTGAGGACTCCATATGCACACCTTGCACAACGCATGCCTCTTCACATTCCCTTTTACTACAGAATTTCAGGGAGTGGGAGGATGCAGAAACTTTAGCCCCCTTTCTGTCACTATTCTGATCTCATGAGATATTAATCTGAATTGTCACTTATCAGACAGCATTAACCCATATCATTTCAGTATATTGCTCCAAAATAAGTTTATTGATTTATTACAAGAACAAGCAAAAGGAGAGTACAGGGGACGATCCTTACAAGTCAAGGCAGATGCTGGTTGCAGAGAGAGATGAGAAGATGAAATGATAGGTAGATAGCAAGGCATTTAAGGAAATAAGGTAAAAAGAAGTTGTAGCTTAGCTAGTACACATGGTTGTAGTTGCCATTACATCTTATAATGGAGAATCCTAGTATGAATATTCATGGAGAGAATTCTGGGATATTTTTGGATCAGGTTGCACCCAAGCTTGGCTAAATGCCAGGTTATTTTATGATTTAAGTGATTGTGAAGTAAACAATTACAACTAGTAGAACATAGAGCAATCAATGTTAGGCATGGGATGACGTGCTGAAGAGAATGGAGGCACATGCAGAATAACACAAGACACTTGGAGCAAAACACTCACCAATCATATTGCATTATTAGCAAAGACACAGCTTTTTCAAGTGGGTTGCTGGGAAGAAGGACAGCCTCATTCCTTTTTCTCCTAACAATCCTGAAATAGCACTCTGTGGGAGCTTATCAGTCAGTTGATTGGCATGGTGCTGGAAAGCCTGAACTATCACGCTAAAAGAAATGTCTTTTTCAGTATGATAGCACTGTGCTCTCTGACGTGAGGGCTGTTGGAGTAAGTACACTCCCATGTTTCTCCATTGTCATGGCACACATGCTCCATGGCAACCTACCAATCATTGGGAGTGATAGCTATGGTGGACCACATGGGAGGGTACCCAAACCTCAGGTATCCTACCCATGATGCAGTCCAACCCATGCAGAAGGCTAGACTGACCTTAGTTTATGGAAGAATCCTACACAGGCTCTCAGAATAAAAGGAGCTCAATACTAGCTTTCTGTAGCTGACTTTTATCTGAGATTTCTACCACTTTGACTTCAGTGAATATATAAATTGGACAATAAAACCAACAATGGTTCTATTGTATATTCAATTACTTTTCAGACTTGTTTTATTCCATATTTGTAACATTCTCCTACAGCAGATATGATACAACTCAGTGTGTTAGAACAGCACAAGTGAGAAGATTATCATATTCATTGGATGTAAGGCCAGGTCAGCAGTTCAATTGATCTGGTATCCTTTCTAGGTGGGAGGGATTGAATGTGGAGATACCGAGGTGCACCCACAAACTATGTCTATTACTTCCCAATAAGACAGCTCCTGGCTCATCTGTCATTTGAAGCAGACATTCATACATTTCTCTCAATGCACTCACAGGTTTATTTTCTTTACAGATTTCTGCCAGATTCCATGTCTAAATGGAGGGCGCTGTGTGGGAAGGGATGAATGCTGGTGCCCATCTAACTCTACAGGGAAATTTTGCCATCTACCAGCTCTAAAAGTAGAAAGGAAACAAGTTCCAAATAGCCTGGCAAGCAGCTCCATGAAGCATTCTATGTATACACTTCCTCTGTCCAACCAACTTGGTAAGCATTAATTTCATAATTCCTCACTTCTTATGTTAATCATAGTGCCCACCTGTCTTAGTCTCTTGGTATAAGAGCACTGAGTTCTGTTTTTGCTGCTATGCAGACATTTGCTTTTTGTTCTAGTAGTTTAATGGTCATGTCTGAAATATAATATATACAATTTAATATATAAAGTCATATGTGTGTGTGTGTATACATATGTACAGAGAGAGAGAGAGAGAGAGAGAGAGAGAGAGAGAGAGAGAGAGAGACTACTGCTTATAATGCGATACAAGGTTGCAAGTTAATTAATTAAAAATCTCATGAAGTAATAGTTTTTAAACCATCTTTATATATGCCTTTAAAACTCATCTATTTCAATAAGCCAAGGTGTGTCCAGATGCAATTCTTTTTTTTTTTTAAGTGTCACTGTTTTCTTGGTCTCTCTTGTTTTCGGAACAGCAATATAGTGTTCATTTTGATTCTATGTTTTATTGTTATGCTTTATATCACCCACGATATTGGGCTGTTAATGACATTATGTTTATCTGCACCTGTCCTCTTTTCTTACCTGTGCACTCCATCCTCCTGGCTGGCTATATTTATAAAGACGTGCACAGATGGTTTTCTCACCCACACAAACAAAATCATTTTTTAAAAACGTAACTGAAATTCTGGAACACAGAATTTTTTGGAAACCACTTATGGCTGTGTGCAATGTTTTGCTTTAATACCTGAATTCCAGAAGTCTGGCATATAAAAAGTAGGGGTGTGCAAGACATTTCAAATTCAAAACAGTTGTTTCAAATTTGAAACGGGTTGTTCTAAGCATTCTGGAAGTGCTTCAAGCTAAATTAAATACAGCACGTGGGGATGTTCATCTGTTAGGATAAGATGAAGGGGGAGAATCAAGGGGGAAAAGCAGACCTCACTGTTGATGTTGAACACCAGTGTCTCATGGAATTAAGTGACATATAGCATTCGGAGGGATTAAATTGATTATCTTCACACAGAATGACAGCATAATTTGGAGACCCCATAACATTGCTATAATAAGTCATCTGCATTGCAAATCAGAACTTCCCTCTAACCCAGCCCCAGTTATACAGCCTGTAATTTATAGCAGTCTTTCCCGGAGTGGCACTTTCCAGATGTGTTGCAACTCTCAGAATTGTTGATCTCTATGTAATCTCCACAATACACTGTCCTGATGGATGATATTTATCAATTGTGACAGTCACTGTTCGTTGTTTCTTTTGGGCTTCATGATAAACCAGATGTTATTTCACTTGCTTATATATTGTGGGTCTTATGTGATCATTGCTGTTTTTTGGGTGTGTGTGTGTTGTACTGTTTGATTTGAAAACCAGTGTGGTCCTGTGGGAATAGAGTGGTTGCTAAAATTGTTGAGTGGCACCAACCATTTTAGTTACTTTTCAAGAGGTCCCCATGCCGGCTTGTAATAGAAAGAAAAGTCATGTTTCTGATGATAATCTTCAACATTTTCTTTCAGCTTCAATATACCCTTCCCTGGTGAATGTACATATCCGCCATCCCCCAGAAGCCACGGTGCAGATCCATCAGGTGGCTAGAGTGAAGAGTGACTCAGGACCATCAGAAGAGAACAGTGTGGAAAGTGTACAGATACCCCAGCTTCCAATGGCCTCTCATTACAGTAATAATACCACCCCAAACAACAATATTGTCATTGAAAGCAACCAGCAACAGAGGCCCCAGGGCCTCATGGGAAAATGTTACCTGGAGACAGTACATGGAAAGGTTGGGAACAACTCTGTCTTACTGTGTTTTATATGAACAAAAAGCCCTTCCACAGTGCTCAAGATGTAGCTCTGACCTATGTGATCTCATGTCATCATCTTGGTAGATGAGCTGATTTATTTGTGGCTCAGCTACCAGAACAGAATTGCTGAAAATACGATCTTTCATTTCCAGTGCTGAAGCACTCCACTGTGGGAGGACTTTGGGAAGCTATTTTCCCATTGGGAACTTGCCTTGCCTGTCTCCTGGCCTCAATATAGGTTCCTCCTCCTCCTCACAGAGCAGAATTTGGCAACCCACAGCCTATGGGCTTCACACAACACCTTAGCCATCCATTTATACCCTTCCTGTGCAAGTGGAGGAGACTACACTGCCAAAATTCATTGGCAAAATATTTAATTGTTGGCAGCAATAATTTTATTTTTTTATTTTTAACAAAAATAAGGATTGCTATGGGAGGGATGATTTCAGCCTGTTTGTTGGGGAGCATTAAGGGAGCAGGCAGTTATTTGGGGGGCAAAAGTCAGTGTCTTGATTTGGGGCTGCTTTTCATTTGATGTGAATGGGAATGGATGCTGCTTGGCCCATTCTCACTCTATTCCTCCAATCCAAATGACAAAGTTTAATTTTAAAATTCCACCATGCTCTTTTCTTCAAGGTCACTGCAGCCTCCTACAACCTGTCAGAAGATTGGGAAGCTGAGTTGTGCCCCCCCCCGCCAGCCCCTAAAACATTGCCCAACCTTCACTGCCATAAAGATTAACTCATCACAGCATCATGGCAACACAGATGCTGTTTAAACAGATGCCACTAGCCAAATTTATAAAGGTCATAAAAAAGTCTTTACACTATGGGAGAAGACCATTAAAGAAAGGACAAATTCAGAAGGGCAGCTATGTCTGGATCTAGGAATTTAAATGGATCCCAAATGACACCAGAGAATGGCAGGTGATTGGGAGTAAAGAAAAACAGTTCAATTGCAGCAACTGGGCTTGCTTGGCTGGGCATCTATATTTTCAATAAAATGTTATATAATGTTAGAAATGCTCATTTTATTATTATTTTTAAAATATATTCTATGACAAAGTGGTGTTAATGCCTCAGCAAATAAATGGCTAATCA